TGAACCGTGGTCCCTGTGCTTCGCTGAACTTGTTCTAAGTAGGTGCTTTAGACCACTGAGCCATCTCTCCAGCCCTTTTTTTTAAATTTTTTTTTATTTATTAGAGAGAGAGAGAGAGAGAGAGAGAGTACTTGTAATATTCTTAGAACAAGTCTCTTCACCACTAGATTCACCTTAACTATAGCAACAATGATGCCTACTAGCAATGAAGAACTAGAGCAAGCATCAGCATATAGTCACAGACGTAACTCATTTGTACTTAACACTAAAAATAAAACCAATAACCACAAGACACTGGCCCAGAGCCACGTCTTTTTTTTTTTTTTTTTTTTTTTTTAGAACAGGGGATTGAACTCAGGACCTTGTGCTTGCCAGGCAAGCACTTATTCTACTGAGCTATCTCCCCAGCCTCCCAGAGCCATATCTTATAAGCATGCAAAAATGTTGCAATGTATTTTGCAACATACAAAAATGTTGCTATGTATTTTGCTTTTCAAAGCATTCCTGTAAATTATTTTTGTGAATATAAATTTATCACTAATAAAACTCTTATTGTTCAGAGTTAGAGACAGAATATAAAATACAGATAAGTCAGAAAATCAGATTCCCATTAATAGACTTCAACTTTAATAAAAACAAAGGATAATTTTAATTAGCCTTGATTTAAATAATAGTCACTTAAATGACTGATAGGTCTCTGTAAATCAGTGGAACAAAATACTAGATATAAAAATAACCCCAGGCACATTAAGTCATCTAATTTTCAACAAAGAGGCAAAAAACATTCTACAGGAAGGTCAGACTCCTTAACAAAGGGTGCTGAGAAAACTAGCTTATTCACACTCAGAAGACTGAAATTAGACCATGTTTTACACCATGCAGTAAAATAAAATCAAAATGAATGAAACACCTACATATCAAAGCACAAACAATCTGCTGGAAGATAAAATAGATAAAACTCTTGAAGAGACAACCATAGCTAAAAGATTTTTTTTTAACAGAATCCCATCTGCACAAGAAATAATAACAAAGCCAGGAATGGTGGCACATTCCTATAATCCCAGCATTCAGGAGGCTGAGGCAGAAGGATCACCATGAGTTCAAGGCCAGCCTGGGCTCCACAGTGAATTCAAGCCCAGGTTGAACTACATAGTGAGACACTGTCTCAAAAAATAAATAAATAAATAAATAAATAAATAAATAATAATA